GTCCCCGCATGATCACCGTTGTGCCTCCGCTAGTCCCCTGCTCCGTGCGCTCACTGCCTCGCGCTGTCGTGAAGCAGGGCTTGAGGCCTAGCTTCACGAGCGATGCCTCCTCTGTCTCCATGGTCTCGCCCGCGATGTGCATCTCCTGGAACGCGTACGCGTCGTAGCCCTTTTCCTCCTGCTGTCTTGCTAGCCACAGCCTGGCTGTGGCCACCCAAGTGGTGAGGTTGGCGCTGAAGATGGTGCGCTTCGGGAACGCGCCGCCGCCTCGTTTACGACCCGACCCCTGCGCCTGGCGTCAGCGCGAGGCCTGGGCGGCCCCTTTGCCGCCGCCCTTGGCCTCGCGTAGCACCTGCAGGAACTGCTCCGCCTCGTCCTTCGGTGGTGCCTCCTGCTCTGGCGCTGCTCCTCCTGCTGGTGGCGCTGCCCTCGGCTGCGCTGCCGGCGGCTCTGCTGCCGCTGCTGCTGCGTCCACTGCGCCTCCTCCTTCTGCCTTCCTCTTCTTCGCAGCCTGCGTGGTGGCCCGCCGCTGCTCCTGCGCATTGGCCTTGGCCTCTGCGAGGTGCTCGCGCAGTTGGCCCGTGAAGCTCCTCGCGTTGGCCTACAGCTGCGCCACGACCGCCTCCTTCGCCGCCTCTGCGGCCCGCGTGGCCTCCTCGTCCATGTCCTCCTCCTGCATGTCGAACTCCATGGCGATGTCCGTGGGCAGCTGACCCTCCAACAGGCTGTCGATCTCGCCCGAGATGAGCTGCTCCACGATGCCTCGCCCTGGCGCCGCTGCCTCCTTCCCCTCCATGTGGATCTTCTCGATCTCCGCCTCCGCTTTCAGCACCGCCTCGGCCGTCAGCGCGAGCGTCTTCCTGGCCTGCTACGCCGCCTCTTCCGCCTCCTGCTTTTGCTTGTAGGCCGTCGCGCATTGGCGGTTGGCAGTCTCCAGCGTGCGCGCCGCCACCGCCCGCCTGACAGCCTTCGACTGCGGTGGCGGCGGCGCGGCGTCCGCTGCCTGCTGGAGGGCGTTGGCGGCCCCTGCCAGCTGGCGCTGGATCGCCTCGCCGTTCTCCAGCCGCATGCTGCCCAGCGTGCTGGTGACCACCTGGGGCGCCTTGGCGAGCTCGGCCGTCGTCTGGCCTCCCTTGGCCGCGCCCTTGCCGCCTGGACCCGCACTCTGGCCGCCTTTGCTGGTGCTCTGGTGTTTCTGGCCCGAGCCTGGCAGCATCTTCCCACATGTGCACCAGCACTGCACGGCTGGGAGGTGGTCCTTCCACCACCACTCCTTGCAGTTCTTGCATGTGACGTATTCCTGGTTGTGGTGCTGCTACTGGTGGTATTGCTGCTGGTGCTGCTGGGGCTCCCAGGCGCTGCTGCTCCACCTGGTTGCACTGCCGCCTCGCCCACTCTGTGGAGCTGCGCTGCCGTGGTGCTCCTCGAGCACGATCCTGAGCTTCACCGCCTGCAGCACCTGGCGCGCGGTCGCGCGCAGTCGGCGCTGGCGCCTGTGCCAGGCGGGCGACGGGTTGCGCTTCCGCGCTGCCGTCCTGCTGGCCCTCGGCCTCTCCCGCAGAGGGACGAGGATGGTCTCCAACCGAGGGCCAGCTTCGCGCCCGTGGCGCTGGGGGCTGCCGCTATGGGTCCGCCGCGCCCCGCCCGCCGCGTGGGCGAAACGGCTGCGGGGCCCCGCCACGGAGCCGCCTGGAGATGGAGGAGGAGGAGGAAGGAGGCGGAGGAGGAGGAGGAGGAGATAGGAGGAGGAGGAGGAGGGGGAGGAAGGAGGCGGAGGAGGAGGAGGAGGAGGAAGGGGGAGGAGGAGGAGAGGAGGAGGAGGAGGGAGGAGGAGGAGGAGGGAGGAGAGGAGGAGGGAGGAGGAGGAGGAGGAGAGGAAGAGGAGGAGGAGCCCCGCTCTATGGATTTGGCGCCAACGCGCCAAATCAACGGATCCCTAATCATGTTCGCGTGTGCCCGAGATGAGGGTAAGTGAGGCCAGAGGGTGGGGGGGGTGAATCGAAGGAGAGTCTGGAGGGGTCCTGAAGTGGGCTGGAGTGCTCCGAAAGGTACCAAACGTTTCCGCGCGGCTACTGGAGGTCTGAGGGAGGAGAGGGAGCAGTGGGAGGAGCAGAGAGGGCACGCCCTCTGAGGAGGAGGGGAGCAGGGGGCGAGGGGAGGAGGACGGAGAGAGGTAGACGAAGGAGGGAGGAGGGAGGAGTCAGGGAGGAGGTAGGAGGAGAAGGAGGGAGAGGGGAGCGGCCCAGTGGGGACCCCCCCAGGCAGCCAATGCTCCAGAGCCCGAGAGCCCTGGGGGCAGTGGCTCGGCGTCCAGTGGCCGCGCTTTGGGGTCGAGTCGAGATGGCACCTCGGGGGACGTCCAAGTGTCGGGGTCCAGTGGCACCTCACAGGGGAGGGGGAGGAGGCGGGGAAGGGGAGGTGGAACTGTTTGGACCACGTGGCTAAGCGCGGGGGACGTGCGGGGGGGGGAACGGAGGGTTAGCCGAGGCCAAGGCGCACGAACACAGCTTGAAACTGCGCGGGCACACCCTCTCGCCCTGGATACAATGCCTTGTCTACGCTTGCGAGATTATCTCTGCCCTTGCGGGTGATGGGCTCGCACGTTGGTTCAAGGTGTTTGCCATCAAGAGTGGCACACGTTCCACAAATCACACAGCATGTGAGGTAAAACTTGCCCCAGACTTGGCCTATGAGATGAGTGTACAGACTGGCCAGCAGCCACCCAACCTGCACCCCCAGGAGAGATCCCGCGATCCTTGTGGAGGCCTTGGCAGGGCAAACGGGCAGCCTCCAGGAAGTGCGACGACTCTGGGACAACAGTACATCGCACAACGATCACATCTATACTTACTGGCAGACAAAGGAGTGTTCAGAAGACGAGAGAGCGCGCGCGAGCGCGGGGGAGGTGGCAGCCCGTCCTTGGGCGGCCTCGCGCCGCTCCAGGGGTCCGCTTCCACGGCGAGCTCCATCACCCGCCGAACTCTCGCTTGGACATGCAAGCCCACCCCGCCCCACCGATCAGTGCTCACCGATCCGACACGACACGACTCCGTCGCCTCCCCCGCCGCTTGTCCCGTTTCTTCGTCGGTGGTTGCCTGACCACTATGTGACTCTAGTTACTTGAACTGCTCGAGGGTATCCTCGACCACCTTGCCGCGAACTCTAACAATAATGGCGTGGGGTTGCCTGGATGTTTCGCTCACAAGAAAGACCGGAGTTAAGAACGGGTTTATGCCATTATCTGGCTGAGTCCTGGTGTGCGACGGAATTCATTTGAGCTGCATTTGGTCGAGGGATCGCTCTCCTAAGGCCAATCTGATGCCACTCCAGAGGTCCTGAATAGAGCCAACCTTGGAGCGAACTCGGCCCGACAACCACGAGCAACGGCTGATGATCAGTGACGAACAGGAACGGTCCTTGCACAGACTCTAATGCAATCGCGAACGTTGTGAGTTCGGCTTGCGGCATTGTCTGCCGCCTTCTACCGAGGACAGTGCGTGACCCCGCAGCCAGAACCCACTTCCCTGGTCGTCCATCCTCAGCGCGACAGCAGCCAAACCACAGCCCCGCCTACGCACATCAGAACTAAATGAGCCTCCAGAACCGTCCCCAAACAGCACCACACACGGCCATAGCTGGGATGAGGTTCGAGGGCTCCGAAAGCCACGAGGTCATATTCCACAATCTCCTCAATGGGGAAGCGGTTGGCCTCTGGGGGGTGGGTCGAACTAATTGGGAGTATTCTTCGCAACCAAGAGACAGGACACAGATCAGCTTGAGCTTCGGCTTGCGGCAGCAAGTCATTCGACTTCTCGGTTTCGATTCAATGATTCTTAAAACACTTCCAGATGCGGTGATCGAGCGTCTCCTCCTCCTCCTCCACATGGGACAAACACGAGAAACGACGTAGCCACAATCAGCCGTCCTGATTCGTGGCCACAGACCCCCCAGACGCGGCAACATTCTGAAAACCAAGTTTCTAGAACTGTTGATGAATTGCAAGCTTACGGCACTCCAGGCGAGCTCCATACAAGTCTCCCCCAAGCCCCAAACCACCCACTCGAAGTGCTCAGAAGCCAGATGTCATACCTTGCTGGCGATGCCCTCTAACACTGCGTATATCAACTCAATGAAATCCACGTCCTGAGCTACGACGGCAGGATCCTCAGCTCTAGGCAGCTGCCACATGGAGTAGGCCTGGACCAAGAGTGAGCCTCTTTGGGGGACCAGCCAGCATCGCACAGGACGGCGATCACGGCCCCGACAGGGCCTCTCTCTCGGGCCCATCTGGTTTTCGAGTCAAGCAACCGCGGACGTACAAACGACCACGCGCGAACAATCCGAGGGTGCAGGGAAGTGGTAGATCGCCACACCATCAGCCACTCGAGAACAAGCTGTCGCCTTAACTCCAACGCTGGCTCCTTTCTCCCCATGTAGAGCGATACAATAGAAGTTAAACACCACCCAGCACCTTTGCCTGCTGTGGATTTCGCTGCCTGACGGCGCAACTTGGTCACAGCAGAAGGAGGGAAGGGCTTGCATTGATGGCCGTAAGACGCCTGGGGGAGTGCGCCTGTCGTCCACAAACTCTGAGTGATTCGGCTGAGCTTTGCGGCTCGTCTGAGCCTGCATATTTTGAGAAACCTCTTAGCTGCTGGAAGTGGAGGAGGAGGAGGAGGAGGAGGAGGAGGAGGAGGAGGAGGGGGTGGACGAGGAGGGGAAGGGGAGAAGGAGGAGGAGGAGGAGGAGGAGGAGGAGGAGAAGGAAGAGGAAGAGGAGGCGGAGGACGACAACGAGGCGGAGGCGGAGGGCCCGGGGGAAGGGGTAGGAGCAGGACAGGGAGGGATATGGGGAGGAGATGGCATAGGAAGGATGGAAGGAAGGAAGGAGGGAGGAAAGAGCGGGAGAGAGGGGGAGCGGCGACAGGCGGCAGACCGACGAGTAGAGCACGGGGAGGGGGAGGAGGCTCGTAGAGGAGGACACGCAAGCGCGCAGCAGAGGTTCACCGCCGGCGTCAGCGCGAGGCAGTTCGAGCAGCTGGAGACGAGGCTCTGCGGAGGCTCCCCGAGAGCCGCCGCGGAGAGCGGTGGTGAGCGCGCGGGGCCAGGCAGGCAGCGGTAACAGGTGGCTTCCCCGCCCCTCGGCGGGACGGCCGCGGAGACCGGCGCAGAGTCCAGGCCTCTCAGATGGGGCCGGAGCGCCAGGAGGCTGGATTCGGCGGCGAGCGAGGGGCGGGCCTTCTTACTAGGCTTGGGCGTCCTCCAGACTCCGGAGAAGTGTTGTAAGCCTTCCCCGAAGACATGAAAGTCTTCTGAAAAGGCCGGAGGACTGCCCCGCCGCCGTCTAAGAAGGCTTACTCCTTCTCGCTTCCCCCCCCCTCGCTCGCCGCCGATGGATGCACATTGGGCTCTCTGGCCGAAATCTTAACTGGTTGAAGTCGCAAAATCCGGGCATGCCGTACTGGCGTCTTGGGGGAACGCGCCGGTGTTGGCCAGATCCGGGGCCCCGCATGTGCTCGAAACCCTCATATTGCCCGCTTTCGCCCTTGCGAACAATGCCGACGTCGAGAATTTCTGCCCGCGCCCGTGGCCAGATGTCTGTCCAGCGCTCGGCCCTTCAAGGGCCGTGCAGGCTGGGCTTCGCATGCGGCCTCCGAGGGTTCCACACGTGGGTCCGGCCGTGTGTGTGTGGTGTGGTGTGGTGTGGTGTGGTGTTGTGTGTATGCGTGCGTGTGTGTGGACACCCGCCAGCGCAGTTACTCTGCCTAGCCGCCAGCGCAAAAAAAATGTGTGTGCGTGTGTGCGTGTGTGCGTGCGTGCGCGTGCGTGTGCGTGTGCGTGTGCGTGTGCGTGTGCGTGTGCGTGTGCGTGTGCGTGTGCGTGTGCGTGTGTGTGTGCGTGTGCGTGTGCGTGTGCGTGTGCGTGTGCGTGTGCGTGTGTGAGTGTGGGTGTGGGTGTGGTGTGTGGGTGTGTGGGTGTGGGTGTGGGTGTGGGGTGTGTGGTGTGGGTGTGGGTGTGGGTGTGGGTGTGGGTGTGGGTGTGGGTGTGGGTGTGGGTGTGGGTGTGGGTGTGGGTGTGGGTGTGGGTGTGGGTGTGTGTGTTCCAGCTTTATGGCAGATGAGGCCGCCGCAGACCCGCATCGCTGATGTATCTGCGATACGGTGCGATCTGGAGCCTGTTCTTATCCGTTCCGACGTCGCCGGTGCATCGGCGATTCGGCGCGATACGGTGCGATCTGGAGCCTGTTCTTATCCGTTCCGACGTCGCCGGTGCATCGGCGATTCGTCTGCTCTCAGAGGAGCAAGAGCTAGCGATGATGATACGCTCTAGGACTCCCCAGATTTCCAGAATGTCCCAAATCTCCTTGATGTCCCACACAGGACACAGGCTGCAGAGACAAGGGCCGCCAGATGCCCGAGAACTCCTGGAGCGTATCCTGAGTCAAACGCATCACGACATCATTATCGCCCCGTGCTCTGACCCCAGTTGGGATGCCCCCGAGGAAGCAAGATGAGAGCTGCGCCGTCGCTCCAGCAGAGGCTCGGCAGAGACTGGCGGAAGGAAGGATAGAGCCCCCTGAGAGGGGTCAGCCGCCAGCGTGCCCAGGGATCCCACAGTTCAAACAAGAGAATCAGCATAGGCACCGTAGATACCTCTGGCTCGCACTCTGCCGCTCGCGCGCCGCTGCTGCCCGAAGTCTGGCTCGCGGGAGTAGCTCAGAGGCGGGCGCGAGAACTCACCCCCCAGTGAAACAAATATAGCCGATTCGTCCAAGAGAGGGCTAGAGCCAGCTGGCCGACTATTCGTCGGCCAGCTGGTGATCTTTCAGTGGTCGAGGGCCAAGTTGTTCGGATGCTTCGTGGAGGCGGAGGCGGAGATGGGGTCCCACGCACATCCCTTCTGTCTTTTCCGTTGTGCGCCTAGCACCCCTTACATTTTGAAGGCAACATGGGTGATATCCTCAGTGCGGCTCCCGACGTTCCCTCTCGTTGAATCCCTCTCCCTTTTCTCCCACTACCCAGTCGCCGCTTCCCCCTCCTCTCACTCCGTCTCTCTTTCTTTCATCGTCCATCCGTCACCATGATCCTTCCCCACATTATGTTCCTCCCTCTGTCCCCTCTCCCTTGCGCGTTGGCCTCCCCTCGCCTCACAGCACAGGAATTATTCCCAGGGGCGACGCTGCTTTTTGAATTGGACTCTGACCCCGCGGAAGCGAGCCCAGACTTCGAGGAAGCGAGCCCAGACTTCGAATTAGAGATCTTCTTTCGCGACGCGGGCCCCCAAGTTCTCGACCCCACTCCAGGGACCACCTTTTCGCCGCGGACCGCGTTTATGTTAGCCCTGGCCCGTCCACGTCCGCAGGGTGCCGAAGTCGCGACTAAGAAACATGTTTAGTCGCAGCGATGGCGATCGCGCATCGCGATGCCCAGAGGCATCGCGATGTTCTCGCGATGCCTCTGGGCATCGCGAGAGCAGGATGTCATAATGGTAGGTCGGGACCTAGTCTATTAAAATAGCAGGTTGCGACACACACACACACACACACACACACACACACGCACGCACGCACGCACGCACGCACGCAAACGCACACTCACACTCACACGCACACGCGCACGCGCACGCGCACGCGCACGCGCACGCACACGCACACGCACACGCACGCGCACGCGCACACGCACACGCACACGCACTTTGTCCGCGTCGCGGCCACGCGCGCAGCGACGCGGTGGAGAAAACACGCGCACACACGCACATACACACGCACAGACACACACGAAACCGGAAGCCGCCGCGCGCATGGTGTCGCTGCCCGCCAGCCGACGCCGCGCGCCCGCGCGCGAGCGCGCGCCAGGGGCGGCCTTCCTGGGCCTGCCCGCGGGCGACCTCCCCGCCCTCGAAGTGACACTGGACCGCGGCCAGGGCTCTGGGCGAGGGGCTCGGCCGGCCGCGGCCAGGGCTTCGGGCGCGAGTGCCGAAGGTTTTCGAATGAGCTACGTGCCCTTGGGAGGCGGGTCTGGGCCTCCCTCCGCCTCCGCACGAGCGCCCGCGGGGCGAGGGGGGGGGGCCCCAGTCATGGCTGATGCCTGCTTGCGGCCGGTGGCAGAGGAGGAGGAGGAGGACGGCGACGACGGGAACGTCGCCGTCCCCCCCTGTGCTGCTCATTCCCTGCCGAAGTTCCTCTGCCCGCTGGGGTCAGCAGCTCAGCCGATTATCCCCCCTGAGATGAGTTCAGGTGTGGTCAGAGCTATCAGGCTTCAGGTCTGGCGGCCCACATGTGGCAGTAGCTGTGGCTGACGAACTGAGTCGCGGCCCTCCGCTACGCCCGAGGAGGACCTTGACGAAGGAGGACAGGACGACGTCGATAATGACGACGACGAGCGCGACGAAGAGGACGAGGAGGACGACGACGAGGACGAGGTCGAAAAAAGGGCCCATGCCGATCCGATCTATCCGACTCAATATCGATCGTCGGCCAGCTCGATTCGATTCGATTCCGATATTCCGACGACCCCATGGGGCCCGATAGTTGTATTGCGTTTTTGCGCATCCTGGCGTCACCGAACCGATCCAGAGTGACATTTCCCCAAATCAGTGCTTGCACTGAAGGAGTCCCTGGGGATGTTGAAAGATTTTGCGAAAGTTAATGGCCGATTTCGGTAGGCGGCCAGGTTACCGGGTTCGCTGCCGGGTCCCGGTTGTTGATTCCAGACCGATTTCGGTGGGCGGCGGGGTTCTTGGGATTACAGTTTTCCGTCTCCCGGGTTTTCGGAGTCTTGGTCGATCTCATTATCGATCTCATCACCGATCTCTTCATCCATGTCTCTCTTTCGATCTCATTATCGATCTCACTACCGATCTTATTCGATCGACCTCATTATCAATCGGACCACCCATCTCACGCAATCGTTCTCGTTATCGATCGCATTACCGATCTCGCTCTATCGATTTCACGATCGATCTCATGATTTATAACCCAATCGATCTCACTGTCGATCTCACGATCGATTATCACGAACGATCCTACTCGATCCCAGGATCGATTCCACTTTCGATTTCACTCAATAGATTTCACTGTCGATCTGAACATCGATACCACGATCAATATCACTATCATTGACACGGGATAACTATCGATAGCGCAACGGGACACCACGGGGGACGGCAACCGGCAATTGCGGGTTCATTCCTCTCGCCCGCCCGCGCAGTTTCGCCTCGCCCGCCCGCACGACACGAACACGAAACCGAAACCGATTTGCCAGTGGCTGGGGGGGTCTCCGTTTCACTGCGATCTCACCCCCAACCTCCGATATATAGAGAAAGGGAGGAGCGAGAGGGAGAAAGAACCACACAACTATGGCACGGAAACGGATGATGCGAGAGACGGAGTAGCGAGAGAAAGAGATAACGACCATCTGCGTGTATATCATCTGTGCACATGTTATGTATAACCGTATGCATGAAGATACACGGATATAAACATACATACATGTGTGTATGTATACAGAGAAGAATTCATAGACACGCATATATATATATATATATGTATAGTAATTCAGAGAGAGAGAGGAACCTATAGTAAGTAGACTGGACTACAGATATTCGAACTAGATCAGGGCGGGAGGAAGATCGATCGAGGTACTTGCGGAACGTGCAGACATCCACGGATTGTGGTTTTCCCTTATGTACGCTGGTGCTGGCCAGAGGGGTGGCCACAGCATTGGCCCGGGCGATCGGGCCTCCGCGCGGCCCCCGCAAGCCGCGCACCAGGGACCGCTCCTGCCCAGAGCCGTTCTTGCGTGTACGCTGGCCGATCTTGCCCTCGAGCTCGCAGAACCGTTTCGTGCCGCACCTTGGCGATCCCAGGCGCAGACGCGTGCCACGTTTCCACCCCTTGCCGATGCGGCCCGATCTGACGCTCACCTCGAGCCGATCCCTTTTCCCGATCCGATGCTGGCTGATCTTGCCTTCGAGCTCGCAGGACCGCTTCGTGCTGCACCCGGACGACCCCAGGCGCAGGCGCGTAGCGCGCGCCGCTTCGGGGGCGAGGCTCTTCGACGCTTGCCGCCGCTGCTCGGGTCCGGGTGGCCGCCGCCGCCTAGTGGGTGGTCGTGTTGAGCTCGCGTGGCCCATCTGCGATCTGCGACCACCTGGGGCGTTCCAGAAAGGTCCCGCCTTCGAGGATCAAAAGAAGGCGATATCTCTTTCTCGTCTGCAGGTGGCGGGAAGGCAGCAGAGGCGGGCGGAAGCAAAATGAGGCGGCTCGACCCCAGGCGCTGGCGCGTGTCGGGCGCCGCTCCCTGGCGGGGCTTGTCGCCGCTTGCCGCCGCTGCTCGGGTAGTTGGTGTTCACCGCCGCCGCCGCCTCGAGGGCGGTCGTGCTGAGTTCGCGCGGCCGACCTGCGACTACTTGCGAGCCCTTGTGCGACCCAGCGATCGATGGTGAAGTGCCCAGAAGGGAGTCGGCGCCTCACTGGGAAGGGGACGGCTCAACAAATATGACCGCCTCGTCTTCGTCGTCGTCGCCGTCGAGGCCACCAGGCCGCAGCCAGCGACCCAGATGAGAAACGATTATGCTTGATTCGTCCCTGCCCAGTTTGTCGTTCAGTCTTTTGGACGCTCCTGCGGGTCCCATCGCCGCTGGGGTAGTGGACACCCTCGCTGGGGTCCACTTGGCTTCAGGTATCCTCAGTCTGGGCCCCGGCCTCTTTTTCAGAAGTCCGACCTGCAAGGGGTTTGGGCTGCATGGGGTGCTGCCGCATGTGCCGCTCCTGCTTTTCCCTCGAACTGCCCAGGCGCCAATTCGCTAACCCGGCCTGTCCTTCTCATCCGACCGCGTCCTGCCCAAGGTCTTCCCACTTTGAAGAATTTGCGCGACCAAGCTGCTCTCTGATGCGTTCTGAAGCCTCCAGGGCTCCAGGGTCCCCCAACGGCCCCAGAGGCTCACGCCATCCTGCTGACCCCCAGGACACGGATTGCACAGTCGGGCATGTATTTGGGTTTCGCCGGGTTTTTCCGGGAAATGTTCAACACGGTTTTTCCCAAGCAGTGTTTGCATTTACGGGTTCTTAAGTTACTTGTCTTCGAAGGTAACTGGGGCCCAGTGGCAGTCCAGCTGGCTCAGCGCCGCCCATCGCCGCCCGTCGCCGCCATCGCCGTTGGGTCCCAGTGGCGCTCCAGCCGGCTCGTCGCCGCCCGTCGCCGCGTTGTTTTGCATCGTTTTGCGTTGCTTTGCATTGCAACGCGCTGCGTTGCATTGCAAGGCGTTGTGACGCGCTGCTTTCCAGTACTTTGCGCCGCATAGATTGCGCCACCTGGATTGCATCAGCTAGATTGCACCCGAATGATTGCACCACCTAGATTGCACCGCATTTCTTGTAAGAGAACCACTCGTTAGGGGTCAACGCTGGGTAACATTTACAAGCAATTTTCAGAACGTACGGAAACTTTCATCTGGTCGGGTTCGGATGGTTCGGAGGGCGTTCAACGTCTGTTTGCGGTTGACAAAGGAGCCCCGTGGCCGCGAACGTGGTTTGACCGTCATCTGGTCCAGCACCCGTTCACAGAATTAAAATGAAGCGTTGTTGTTTTCTTCCTCATACCTCATTCCTCATACCTCGCCCTCCCCCCCCCCCCCCCCCCCCGCATGCACCCAACCTCATTATACATCCTACCTGCCACCTACTTCGCCTCCTGGGCGCTGCCAACACACGTCATCTACCCAACTGCTGCCATTGTTGTGAGCCTCTGGGAGGTCCAGCGGCATGGTACCTTACGTAGATCTGGATGAAACCTCGCCTCGTCATCTCCAATAGGTGCGCAAAGAGTGCATTCACATTTCCAGGTAGAGCACACATGATGAGGAATGTGTTAGTTCTGTGACGAATTCTGCGACCTACCACTTTTCGGCCGAAGCAACTCCATGACATTGCGTTGCTTGGAGAGGCCATTGAAGAGCCTACGCTAGCCTCAAAATGACCTCAGACGCCGGCCACAGCATGCTAGCTGAAAAGTGAGCACGCGCGAAGCGCGCATATACACACACGCACACACACACCACAACCACCGTGCCTGGTCAGGGCCATCCTGAGCACCAGGATGGTGCATAGACCCTTTGGGGCGGCCAAGAGGACGTATGCACCGTGTCAGGGCTCAGGATGGCCCCAGCCATGCACGGTGGTAACGTACAGACGCCTTCTGCGTAGGCCAGAGCGCGTGTCGCGTTCTCCTGCATGCCTGCCAGACTCTCTAGAAAAGTGGAGGCGCTCCGTTGGTTGCTTGCCTGCCTGGCTCTCGGGAAGAGCCGAGGCGAAGCGGGAAGAGGAGGGGATGAGCGCTCTGAACAGCGAGCAGCAGGTTCCGCACCATGGGTAAGAACGGAAATGTTTGGGATGCATGTCGCTCCGCCGGTTCTGGCCCACCGCGCTTCGGCGCGACACGCTATCCACTTCCTGGCCCCCCAGCCTCCACGTCCTGAGCGTTCAGCGACTCCCCACCCCGCGGAGCGGAGCGACACGTTTCCCGCTCGCGAGTCATAGCGTGTCGCCGGGGCCGCCGCGGCGACGCGCTATGCAAAAGTTCCTGACGGTATCCTCACCACCTCCGCGGCAACGGAGCCGCTTGCGTCGCACCGGGCGAGCTCCTGCCGGCGGCGAGCCCCTTCTACCCGAACTCTAGCCGCTCTAATCACGGTTGCGGCCGCTGTGTGCCCAATTGGATACGGCGTCCCGCCCCAGTTCGAAAGCAATATGTTTCATCGCGCGCCCGGTGTTCTTTTTTCCCAACCATCTTGTGGTGTTGGGTCCTCGTTTTGAAGAGACGGTGCCCAGCGTTCCTCCTCTCCTACTCCTCCCCCTCCTCCTTCTGCCCATCACGATCATCATCATCATCATCATCATCATCAGCAGCAGCATCAGCAGCATCAGCCTCAGCATCATCGTCATCATCATCACCATCATCATCATCATCATCATCATCATCATCATCATCATCATCAGCACCATCATCATCGTCATCATCATCACCATCATCGATTTCGGCACCGCCCCATTTTGGCACACCCCTCACACGCTTCGTGGCCCCATAGGGAGCTCCACCTAAGGTCCCAGTGGCGGAACTCCCATGGCGGCCTCGGGCCATTTCGTTACAACCCTCACGAGGATCGTGGCCCCATAGGTAGGGAGCTCCACCGAAGGCCCCAGTGGCAGGGTTCGCATGGCGGCCTCGGGCGACTTCGGCACACCCCTGACGAGGATCGTGGCCGAGCTCCACCGAAGGTCCCAGTGGCGGAACTCGCATGGCGGCCTCGGGCCATTTCGGCACACCCCATCACGAGGATCGTGGCCCCGTAGGGAGCTCCACCGAAGGCCCCAGCGGCAGGGTTCGCATAGCGGCCTCGGGCCATTTCGGCACACCCCTCACGAGGATCGTGGCCCCTTAGGAGTTCCACCGAAGGCGCCAGTGGCAGCTTCCCTCATGGCTCTCAGAGCCCTCTCCCGCTTCTGCTCCGCGGTCAGGGGGGCGCCGTCCTCGTCGTAGGCGCCCGCGAAGACGGCCGCGAACGTGTCCCTGAGCATGTCGGGCTCCGGCGGGAAGCCGTGGCCACATAGGGAGCGTGGGCGAAGATGGTATTCACAATTGCGGTATTCACAACTGCGTATGGTTGGGTCCTTCGCCAGGCTAATTGTCACATGCCGACAGTACAGGAGCGAAGGAGATGAATATGTCTGGCGCAGCGCGGAACGGCAAGTCAGGCGAGCAGGCAAGAGAAAAATGACATGCAGAAACCATGAGGGGTAGTGTGAGCGGGAGGAGGAGGAGGAGGAGGAGGAGGAGGAGGAGGAGGAGGAGGAGGAGGGGGAGGAGACACTCTACCACACCGATGGCTAAGACAATTTTCTTGGCGAGGACACAACCATATGCAGCAGTGGGCAACGCGGTGGTGCACCACGAAGCTTGTGAGAGATGTGCCGGAATTGGCGGGGAGCCGCATGTAGTGGACGCTCCCACTGGGGCCTTCAGTGGAGCTTCTTATGAGGCCATGAAAAATGTGAAGGGTGTGTTGAAATGGGTGGGGAGCCGCGTTTGGACCCTCCCGCCGAGGCCTTCGGTGGAGCTTCCATGTGGGACCACGAAGCGTGTGAGGGGTGTGCCGAAATCGGCGGGGAGCCGCATGTGGATGCCTTCGGTGGTGCTCCCTATGGGGCCGCGAATCGTGTGATGAGTGTGCCGAAACAGAAAATTGCGGAGGAAAGAGGCAGGGATGGGAGGCAGGGATGTGAGGAGGGGTGAGGAGGAGGAGGAGGAGGAGGAGGAGGAGGAGGAGGAGGAGGGGCGGAGGCGGAGGCGGAGGAGGAGAGGAGAGGCGACGCAAGGCACTGTTTCTTAAAAACGTGGGCCCAGCACCAATAATCTTTCGATCCTCGAGGACGGACGGCGAAGCTCAGCAACAGGGCGGGCCTTGGGGGGTCCAGCGGCCCCGAGGCAAAATTGGCGCCTCAGCTACACCTGCGACGGCGCTGGGCGCCCCGCGGGAGAGCCCTTCGAGTCGCTGCACAAGACGCGCATCTCGGACTGCCACGTGGCCGAGCCCGCAGAAGGGAGGGGGGCTAGAGGGGGGAGGAGGAGGAGGAGGAGGAGGAGGAGGAGGAGAATGATGATGATGATGATGATGATGATGATGATGATGATGAGATGATGAGGAGGAGGAGGAGAGAGGAGGAGGAGAGGAGGAAGAGGAGGAAGAGAGGAAGAGGAGAGGAGGAGGAGGAGGGAGGAGGAGGAGGAGGAGCAGGAGCAGGAGCAGGAGCAGGAGCAGGAGCAGGAACGGAGCAGGAGCAGGAGCAGGAGCAGGAGCAGGAGCAGGGGCTTCAGAGGAGGGCGAGTTGCGACAACTGCAGCTGGCCTTTGGGGGGACCAGCTGGGAAGAGGAGGAGGGAGAGGTTCGAGCAAGGATAGAGCTCTGGGCCGCCTGAGCGCTTTGTGTATATCTGAGGAGAGCGCGAGCTGAGACAACTTTAGTTTGCCTTCGGGGGGGGGCCCTCATCGTTTGCGTGGGACCGATCTCCAGCTGCCGTTGTCTCAACTCGCCCCGCTCCGAGTTGGAGCGAGGACAGGGCCCTGAGCCACGTGAGCGCTTCGTTTAAATACGGGGCGCTCCAGTAGGGGCCTCGCCGTCGAGGGGACGAGGGGAGGGCCTTCTCGTCCCCCTGTGGAAGGCTGGCGGAACGCGGCAGATGTAAATGAAAGGGGCTGCTCCGTTAGCGGAAGTCCGCGCGGATTTCTTGGGTCGGCTGGAACGCCCATACCATCCCATGTCGCGCGAGGCGCGCCAGAGGCGGCGCTGGAGTCTCCGCCGGGGGTTCCAGCGCCGACCCCGGAAACAGTCCGAGCGGACCTCCGAAGGTTGATGCTTTCGCCGTCTGTTGCTTCTCCAAACCCCTCGCCTCGCTAGCGTTGGGAGATCCCGTTCAAAAGTGGACAGGCGAGCTGGCCTGATGGAACCCCCAGCGCCCGCCGACAGAAAAAGCGAGTTGTCCCGCCGAAGGGGTTAGTTTCTATTTCTGTTGTCGCCAGCTGCCAATCGGTGAGATCTGCAGTCTGGTCGGCAATCGTCTCCGAATCGCCCCCCCCGCGCCGCATCGCCTCCCCTCCTGTGCACCTCAGCTTTGGCCTTGTCCTCGGGCTGTGGGTGCACTCCGAGGCGCCCCCATGCTGGCTCACCCGAGTCAGTCGGCCTTTCTCGCTCGAGACAGCCTCCACAACATTCCATGAGCACAGAGAGGGCGCGATGCGGAACTCGCTGGTCAAGGAATGGAGCTGATGCCTCCCTCCTGGAATGAAGCTGCGACCAAGGAGCGGCGCAGACGCCGCATTCGCCCTACGGTCCTTCTGTTCGATCCTCCGGCCCTAGGAGGCATGAGCCTCTCCAGCCTCCTGGGCCCCCACGGCCCTCGAGAGAGCGGCGTGAGCACGTCTGCACGACTCGGCCAGCGCCCGCCGCTACCGAACGGGGGGCAGGGCGTGGCCTCTCGGCTCCTCCGCCAGTCAGGGGCGCCAGAGGCGGCGCTCCGGCCCGCACGACCCAGCTGGAGTCAAGACGCCGACAGAAGTGCCGCTCTGGGCTCAGGGGGGGAATTCCGGTTTTCGGGCCGTTCCTGAAAGCTGGGCCGGGGAACCTATTCGTTGCCGAGGCTCGGCACGGCCAGAGAAGCCCCTTCGTTCCTTGTTATGCGTTCCCTATGGTGGCGCGTCTGCTGTGATCGGACTCCCCTCGTCGTCGTCGGCGTCGTCATCGTTTCGTCGTCGGTTCGTCGGCGTTGATTCGCCCTCGTCCTCGGTTCGTCGTCATCGTCGCTTCGTCGTCCTCGTCGGTTCTGCGTCGTCGACTCGTCGTCGTCGCTGCCCTCGCTGAGTTTGCGAGGGCACTCGACGATCCTATCAGGGCCCGTCGCCCCTCTGCACCGCCTCATCCGCCCCTTCCCTGCGCCCATACCATCGCCCCTCTACACTGCCTCGGCTCTGCGGGCTCTCGAGTCCCCATCTCCACCGCGAAGAGGCCAGCGGACTCGAGACGCAGCCCATGCATCGAAGTTCACTTCGAGAATGGAGCCGCAGGACCCAGGGCCGGGCCAGGGACTCCGAAAAGCGGAACAACAGGGGACGAGGCAGTCCCGCAGAGAGGCACCACGGTGATCATGGCACCCCTCGCTTTCCTCAGCGTCGCCCCCCCTCCCTCCCTCCCCAGACATCTCTCGATATGGTGTTGTTTCATCTGCGGCCCCAGAGTTCCCTTCCCTTTCCCCTGGGGCAGTCGGATACTTGTTTGATGGCCTTGGGGCCCGATCACGGAGCCCCAGAGGTCGAAGCGAAGGGGAAGCGCCGCGATGAAACAGCATAAGTCATATCGTCGGAGATCTGCGCCACCAGACATCCGATGTCTCGATTTGGTTCAGTGCGCGGTCCCTCGAAGTTCCGACCCTTTCCCCAGGGTCGGTTTTCATCCCAAGTGGTTCTTGACCGTCCTGGGGCCCGACGCGGGCCCCCAGAGGCCGATGTGTTAGAGGTCTTGGGATCTGGGTCTGGGGGCCGAGGCTGACGACTGGCTTGATTTTTGCCAATACGTTGGACGTTGGAGGTCTGAGTCTCCCGTCCCCGTCCCTGCGCCCGTCCCATGGGCGGGGACCGTGGTGGCAGCTCCAGCCGTTCGCGAGGCCATTGCTCGGCGTTCGGAGTGGGTCTGGCAGGGCCCTGTTGGCACATGGACGGCACGGCGACGATGCTCGTGGAGGGATCGCCCGATTCGGCTGCACGTAAGAGTGAACTCTCGCCAGAGTTGCCTCTGGCGCGGGCCTTCCAGACCACTTGCCTGCGTGCTTGGATGTGGCTTTCCCACTGGCCCCTGAAGCCGCGCGCCAGAGGTCACTCCCGCCCGAAAGGCCACTCTTGCGTGCAGGTTCGACCAGTCTGGGGCCCGTTATCGGGCCCCAGAGCCACCAGAAGTGGCCCGAGGACAGTAATTATATCGCCGTGGAAGAGGTCGAGACCTCTGGGGCGGCGGATCTGAAGAATAATATCGGCGGATGTGAGAGCCTCGCGGATGGAGGACCCTCCCCAATCCAGCTCCATTCTTTTTCCTGATGAATAACTCCTTCCTGTCGCACCCCGGGGCCAGGTCGAAAGGACGGGCCCGGCATTTCGCCTGAAATAGTCGATCAAATCATGATCTTGGAGCTTACAAGTTTGCAATACCTTCACGGATGGAGGGCGGATGCTTTTCAAAATGTGGCTCTCGATTTTGCGCCGCGCACATTCCCGGTAAAAGTTTGGAAGAGCTTCGCGGATGGAGGGCGGGTTGTTTTTTTAAATATGTTTCTCGCCTCAGTGCCGCGCACATGTGCCAAATATGTGCAGACGCTTCACGGATGGATGACGGGTGGTTTTCAAATTGTGGTTCTCGATTTGGTGCCGCGCACACTCGTTGCCGCTTCGGTTATCGTCTCAGCGCCGCGCACAATCGTTTTCAAAGTTTGCAGGAGCTTCGCGGATCGAGGGCGGGTTGTTTTCAAAATGTGGTTATCGCCGTACCGCCGCGCACATTAGCGTTGAAACTTTGCAGTTTTTCCAAGGGGTCGCACGCTAACCTCCTGAAAGCTGTGTTTTGGCATGATGCCGGACTGTCAGGGCGCAGCAGTAGAGTTGGTTCGTTGTGTTCAACTCCCAGAAAGGGTGCTAGGATCGTCAAGACGCAACAGTAACGGAGATTCGCGGCGTTGAATTCCCAGGAATGGTGTAGTGGCACAGTTCAGGAGATTCAAACGGTTGCCTTCCAACGGGGCACTTCCCTCAGTGGAAATGAGTCCTTATATGGGGCCTTTGGAAATGCAAACCCGGAGGGAAGGTCGATTGCAATGTCGTTGCTGAGTCTTGGGCTTCTACTGGTCCTCCTCCCCCTCCTTCGATCTCTCCAGCCGAGGCCAGCACGCCGAGCACCGACAGCGACGTCTCGCCGCGCCCTCGGGCCCTGGGCCGGGCGCGACCCTGAGCTGATGGCGGCGCGCAAAGAACACGCTGCCCGTGTCTGCAAGTTTCGGCATGTGGAGGCCGCTTCCTGGCCTTGGGACCGTCCAAAGTCGTTCAGGATGGGAAGCCAGCCCTCGGCAGAGGGTAGAGGTCCCCAGGGGCCCACGTCACGAAGAACAGTTGGAGGCGGAGAGGGGGGTGTAAACATTTGCTATAGCTCCCCAAACAGTGTTTGCACTTAAGGGTTCTCATTTCTCTTCGAAGCATCTGGGCCTGCCTGCCGCTCTGCAGGCGATGTCTCCGCCGTCGCCGCCTCGTCGCAACCTGTGCACCGCCCGTCGCCTGGGCCTGTCTGCGGAACTGGTGGCCATGTGGCCGCCGCGGCCGCCTCATCGCCGCTTCGTCGCCGCCCGTCGTCTGGGCCTGTCTGCTGCTCTGGCGACTGTGTTGTGTGGCTGCTGTCGCCGCCTCGTCGCCGCCCTACAAAACACAGTATTGATTGCACCCAACGCTGGCCCCAACGTTCCAGGGTCTCCTCATCACGTGCACGGTATCGTGTACGGACGTGTTATCGCCGTCTCCCGCGCCTACCAGCCCGACAATGTCAGCGTCGACCAGATCATGGACCTAGGCATCGTGCACCTTCGCGGCTCTCGCATCGACTCTCTCACCGATTCCGGCGCCGACTTGCTCTCTGACTTCTGCGCAGGGCGAAACGCTGACTCCCAGCCCGTCCAGCTCACCGACCCCGCCGGCGACCAGAGCGCCGGCTCACACGTCGACCAGCACGCCGTCTCTCACCCCAGCTGGCTCACCGACCCCCGCGCTGGCAGGCTCGCCGACTCCCATGCCGGCCACCGTGGGTGTATTGCCTGTTGTTTCTATTTTGTTGCGTCATGTTTCTGATGAGATGTCATGCCGGGGCGCTGACAATCAGCGTTTTTTCGTCTGGAGCAAATGCGATTGTGGTTACCGCACTGTCCCATGCTAAGAGAGCTTCTGGAATTCTGGAATGGTGCTTGATCGCTTTACCTGGCACTCGGTGCGCCACTGCATTTAATAAATGAGACTGCCACGGAGCCGGCGCTTCTCTTGGATACTTCTGTACGTGTTGGCGGGTTGATATTCTCTTTCACTGGGGCGACGTCTTGACGGCGTCTGGGACTGCTTCAACACATGCCGTCGAACGTGGGCAACTCGTGAGGGCGGCAGCGTGAGCGTCTCGGACGCTTCCTCCCTTCCCTTCCCTCTCCCGCCCTGCGACTGGTCGTGATCATTGTAATTCAGTTTTTGCATCGGGGCCCTGTGCCGAGTTCGGGGGGCCCGCCCACTCCGATGCCTCTGCCTCCCCATTTCGCGGGGGTGGACGCCCCGAGTGGCTTCGGCGCACCTCGGGCGACTTACATAATACCCACGTTTCAGCGCTTCCACTCTATGCCCTTAGTTTTTCCTTCGACTTGCGTTGCCTTTCTAGGCTGTTTCTCCCTCTGGTCCTTTCCTCGGTCTTCTGCTCCGCTTTTCTATGCTTCTGCCTTTACTCTGTTAGGCCTGCACTGTCTCACGCGCTGCGCTGACTGGGGTCGCGCGCGTCTCTCGGCTCCTCCCTCCTGTGGCGCCTCCTGGTTTTGGCATGTGCTTTGTTTGTTCTGGCTGGGGCCAGGGTTCAAAGCGTCCGGCGGTGGGTCGGCCGTATGGTGGTGGCGACGTTGCCCTCCAATACTTGCTCCCGGCCTGTTCTCTTCTTTCCCTCGTCCTCCTGCTTCTTCGTCTGTGCGTAGTTTCCCGCGTTAGCATTCCAGACGCTCCTCAATCGCACGTGGTGGCGCAGCCTTGCTGTGGTGATCCTCTTTGCCTTTGAATCGCTGTGTCGTCTCTGCGTTGCGTGTATGGAAAAATGTTTCTTCATCTTCCCTTCGTCGCCGTCCTCCCTCCTCCCTCGTCGTTGTCGTCGTTGTCGCCGTCGTCGTCCTCCCTTCTCCCTCGTCATCGTCGTCGCCTTCGTTGGCGACATCGTCGTCGTCGTCTTCGTCGTCCTCGTCGTCGGCGTCGGCGACGTCGTTGCCGTCGTCGTCGTCGTCGGCGGCGGCGTCGTCGTCGTCGGCGTCGTCATCGTCGTCGTCATCGTCGTCGGCGTCGTCGTCGATGTCGTCGTCGTTGTCGTCGTCGTCGAAGTCGTCGTAGTCGTCGGCGTCGTCGTCGTTGTCGCTCTCGTCGTCGGCGTCAGTGTCGTTGCCAAGTGCCATGTGGTACCTACCGTCACGGTCCTAAGAGCTCTTGCGACCAAGATGCGGGTGGGAGGACGGGATGCTTGCACGAGCAGTGGAGAGGACAGCTTCAAGACAGTCAAAGTGAGTTGCACCACATAGATTGCACCGCGCAGGTTGCACCACGTTGATTGCTCCAAACACATTGTTTCGGGGTCCACGCCGGCTAACATAACAAGCATCGCATAAACAACACATGTCGGAGCTGTGTGTGGATTTATTGGGTCGGCGTTGAACCCCCCTGGTGCGCGAAGTCCACTTTGTCTCGGTTCCTGCGCACATCATTTCATCTCTGGTGGCCCTGCCGAACGTAGAGCTCCGTGGATCTCGTTTAGCGTTCGCCTTCGAGCGTTGCGACCACGGGCCACTTCGGAGCCAGAGAAGAGAGCGCCCGATCAGAACCGAAAGGCTTGCGCAGGTAAGGTAGAATCGTAAGCGCTAGGAGGGGTCAGAAGGACGGGCGGTCAAGACAGGGGGACGAACACGGTCGAGAACTTTTGAATAGCCTGTCGATCCGTCGGTTTTGGCGTCCCACGCCTCGGCGCAACACGATGTCCATTTCCTGGTCCCCAAGAGTCCAGGTCCCCAGCTATTTCCCGCCTCCCGCCCCGAGGGGCTATCCACTCGCAGGGCATGACGTGTCGCTGGGGCCGTTGTGGCGACACGCTATGCACAAGTTCCCGACTGTAGTTCGCCCGAGCAGAACTGACAGACCTGCACAGGTAGAATCGTAGGCGCGTGGATGGGTCAGAAGGAGGGGTGGTCAAGACAGGGAGACGGTTACGTAGGCACGCTCGCCAGCAATTTCTCAGCCTACGTCACATCAGGCTTGCCCCTTGTCCACCTGTGCATTTCCTCGCCCCGCGCGCGCCCAGAGCGCCTCACGTCGCCCCCTGTCCCATCCTGTGCCGAGGCGGCTCCTCTCCAGCGCACGGCCTCGCCCAGGCTGGGCCCACGCCGATCTTGCGGTCGGGAACGTTTGGATACCGTGGCGCATGACGCTATCCACCTCGCGGTCCCTAGGCGTCAACATCCCGAGCTTCCCGCCCAGCGGAGCGCAGCGACATATTATCCACTCGCAAATCATAGCGTGTCGCCAGGGCCGCCGCCGCGACACGCTCAGCAAAAGTTCCCGGTCGTGCGAACATGCAGACCCTGAGCGTGTTGACACGGATCTCAGCATGTGGATGTGATATTTGGGTCTGGCGCGATACGTAGTCCACACGTGCTGAACCAACATGGCGAGTTGACATGGAGCTCAGCACGTACATGTAATGCGTGGTCTGGCGCTATACGTAACCCACACGTGCTGAACCTACACGCCGAGTGTTCAACCTGGACTGCACCTCATTGCTCTCTTCCTAGCCGAGGCGCAGTTGCTGGAGATCACCCCGAGGCTGGAAAACTGCCGAGAACCGACGAAAACGTCCGAAAACCTCGAACCTGAGCCAACCCCCACCCTTCGAGCGTCGATCCTCGATCGCCTTCGTCGTCGTCGACGTCGCCGGCGTCGTCGTCGGCGAGGTCCTTCGGCGAGGGCCCTCGACGGCGGGGCCCTCGACGGCGAGGCCTTCGGCAGGCGGCGAGGCCGCCGGCGAGTCCGCGAGGCCCTCGACGACGAGGCCCTCGATGGCGAGGCCCTCGACGGCGAAGCCCTTCTGCGAGGCCCTCGGCACGGCCGTCGGCGAGGCCCTCGGCGAAGCCCTCGGCGAGCGGCGAGGCCGTCGGCGAGGCCGTCGCCGGGCGACGGCGGAATGCAGGCCGAGGTCGCCGCCGCGGCCAGCCGTGCGCCCTGTGGCCATCCGCGTATCCTTCAGCGAGGAGGCCCCGGACTCGCCGGGCGGCGCGCCCCCGGTGCTGCAGGAGCGGCTGAAGCGCAGGAGCGGCCCGCGCCTTCTCGGGCAGCGCCTCGGGCCACGAGGGTCTAGAAGGAGGAGGACTGATATGGGGGAGGAGGAGGGGAGTCAGACATCATGAGGGGGAGGAGGAGGAGGAGGAGGAGGAGGAGGAGGAGGAGGAGGAGGCGGAGGAGGAGGGGAGGAGGAGGAGGAGGAGGAGGGGGAGGAGGGGGAGGAGGAGGAGGAGGAGGAGGAGGAGGAGGAGGAGGAGGAGGAGGAGGAGGAGGAGGGGGAGAAGGGGAAGGGGGAGGGGGGGGACGAGGAGGACAACTGAGGAGGAGAAAGAGAAGAAGGAGGAGGAGGAGGAGCCGTCGTCGGGGTGCGCCGAAAGGGGTGGGGGACAGGGGGTGTCTCATGGACAGAGCCACGCAGGGGGGGATGGACGCAGTGTGCGTCCATCCTCATCCCCCCCCTGCCCTGGGTAGGGGGTTCAAATGTTAGTTTCCCCTCTTGTCCACCCTGTTCTATAGAACCTCCCAACTGGGGATGTTGGTTTCTACGCTTTCCGTGTTTCTGTTTATTATCGGTGCCACCTTTGTCCTTGGTGCAACTATAAAGAAGAAGAAGAAGAAGAAGAAGAAGAAGAAGAAGCAAACAACAAAAAAAACAAAACAACTAATAGAGGAGTAAGGGGCAACGCATGGATACCAGGAGAGAAAGGCCAAGGATAGGAGGGCGGGGTATGTAGAGAAGGAGGAGGAAGGAAACAAGCTAGTGTGAAACCTTGGGGGCATTATGACCTGTCGGCGGGCATCTTGCATTTACTTCCAGGGCCGGTTTATTCTCCCCCAGCACGCGAGCAGGCCGATGCCCATGCGTATATGACGCTTCGCGCTTGTTGTCATCTGCGTGGGGCTCCCGAGCGTTGACCCGCGTATCGCTCCAACCCTGTTCTCTGTCCCTGCCCTCGTTTGTCATCGCGGGTTCTATAATTAGCCTTCCCCTCCTCTCTGGAAGTAACGTGGCCTCGCGGGCTCGTCCTCTGTGCCCTCGCGTTGACATTCACACATATTCTCAACAAAGTGCTATCGCCTTCTGTCGGCCGCCAGGGTCGCGAACCCATACTGGAAAGCATGCGCTTCGCCATTGTTTGGTTGGGCTTTCATTCCTTAGCACGCGTTTGTACGACGATGGGTTCGGAGTGATGCTTCATTGGGGGGGTGAGGGGGATAGCTCATGAAGGTGGCGGTGAGAGTGCGATTTTCGATTCACATTTGTTTCGCGACGTGCCTGGTACAGTGCCCCCTGATGTAACTCTGACCGAATCTTGATTTGCATAGTCCAGGGTCGGTTGGGAGCCTTTTAGTCTACAGAAACCTGTGGCCTCTTAGTTTTACTGTACGGTTTAGGAGCGCATGTTGTAGAAACCAAACTGGGAGATTATCAAATCTTGTAGTGGCCTCTGGCCAGTGCCGCCAATCCGGGGCGCTCCGACTGATGTGGTCCTCCTTCGCCCTCGTCCCTCCTCTCGTTTTCCCTCCCTTGGGCGAATTTCTGCTCGCGCCATGAAAAACTTCGATGTTTGGTCGCGCGCGCCATGACAGACCTCTGCTTTTCTGCGCGCACGACATGAAACACCTCGGTGTTTCTGTCTGAGAACCCTCGATTGTTTGCACGTGCGCCGCGAAGCACCTCGGCGTTATCGCGCGCAACGCGCAGCGCCTCGATGCAAATTATTCGGGCTACAGAAGACCTCGGTGGTTTTGCCCCCATGAGAGACCTCGATCGTTTCTTCGGTGCCCTTCCGAGAAGCGGTGGTCGACCAATCCGCGAATTGGTGGGCGACCGAAAAACAAGCATTGGTTACGCGGCGAGCGCCCACCCCGAGAATTGGCAAGGTGACCGACTGGCGGGCCCCAGAACTGGTAAGGTGACCGACTGGCGGGCGACCAGCCCGCGAACCGGCAGGCGACCGCCCCGAGAATTTGCGGGCGCCAGCCCCAGAGCGGGCAGCGCGACCGACGCCACGCGCGAAAGACCCAATCAGATGAACGCTGGTGCGTGCCGCGATAAACTCCGACATTTGTCATCCGCAGGCCCTGGTCAGAGCTGGGCTTAGGGCCCAAAGGGTCAGAGACCGGGTCGGAGTCAGGGCTCGGGCCAGGGCCGGCGCTCGGGCGGGCTCGGGCCGCGGTCGAAGATTAAACGCCAGGGTCAGAATTCTGCGCCGACATAAATGCCGAGATAAAATTTCAGGCCCGATTAAACGGCCGATGTGAATGCCGAGACTAAAATTGTAGCCCGACCAAAACACCGAGGTGAATACCGAGGTTCAAATTGAGGTCAAATTTGAAATAAGCATTTTCGAATGACGTCGCTTCTGATAAACCAAAAAGTCGATGCCAAAGCTGAGGCCACAATTGAGGTCCGAATAAAACGCCGAGGCGAATGCAAAGTTCAAAATTGAGGCCTGTCTAAAACGCAGAGGCGAACATCGACGTCACATTTGAGGGCCGACTAAAACGCCGAGGTGAATACCTGAGTCACATTGGAGGCCCGACTGAAACGCCGAGGCGAATGCCGGGGCACAAATTGGCGTCAAAAATGAGGTCAGATTTGAGGTCATGTTGTAGGTACACATTGAGGATCTGCCGGATCTTCTCGGGGCGCCGCAAGCACCGCCCCCCCCCCCGCGCCGACCCCCGCGCGCCGCGCCCTGAGCGCCCCCCACGCCCGCCCCCCCCCCGCCCCGCCCCCGCAGTTCGAAAAGGCTCCGAGCCCTGAGGCGTCGAACTCGCATTGACTTCGAACGCCTCCGGCCCTGTCAGGTTCGAGCCCAATTTGAGTCCGAGCCGCGCCGGGCCCCGCAGGTTCGAACTCGAACTGAGCCCGAACCGCCCAGGGCCCTGCAGGTTCGATTTCAGATTGAATTCAAACCGCCCCAGGCCCTGCAGGTTCGAAATCGAATTGAGTTCGAACCGCCTCGAGCACTGCAGGCTCGCGCTCGAATGGAGGCCGAACCGCGCGAGACCTTGCCCGTTCAGATTCGCATTTAGTTCGAGCCGCCTCGAGCCCTGCAAGTTCGGGTCCGCATTGAGTTCGAACCCCCTAGAGCCCCTGCAGGTTCGAAGCCAACTTGAATTCTGACCGCCTCGGGGCCCGCGGGTTCGGACGCAAACGGAGTTCCCCCCGCCTCGGGCCCTGCAGGTTCGAGCTCCAATTGGGATCTTCCCGCCTCGGGCCCCGCGGGCCCGAATTCCGATGGAGCCCGAAACGCCCCGGCCCCTGCCGATTGCAGCGTGAAATGGATCCGAGCCGCTTCGGGCCTCGCGGCGTCGAACGCAGATTGACTCCGAACCACTTTGGGCCCTGCAGGCCCGAACTCAGACTCGGGCCTTGAAGGTTAGACTTCAAATCGAGTTAGAACCGCCTCGGGCCCTGCAGTTCCGAAGTCAGATTGAATCCGATCCGCCTCGGGCCTCGCAGGTCCGAACTCAGTTTGAGTTCGAAACGCCTCGGGGCCCCTCAGGTTCGAGTTCGAACTGCGTTCGAAGCGCCGCGGGCCATGCAGGCTCGAGCCCAAATTGATTTTGAAGCGCTTCGAAACCAGCAGGTTCGAATTCACGTGCGAACTCGAATTGAGTTCGAGCAACCTCTCGCCCTGCAGGTTCTGGTTCGAGTAGGTTCGACCCGCCGCGAACCCTGCAGGTTCGACGCGCCCTCCAGGTTCGAAGTCCATTTGAGTTCGAAACGCGCCAGGCTCTGCGGGCTCGAAGTCAAAGTGAGTTCGACCCGCGCCCCGAGCCGTGCAGGTTCGAGCTCGAAGTGAGTTCGAACCACCCCGGGCCCCGCAGGTTCGAACTAGTTCGAACCGCTTCGAGCCCGGCAGTTCCGAATTCAAATCGAGTTTTCCCCGCCTCGGGCCCTGCAGGTTCGAATTTGAATTAGGTTAGAAACGCGCCGGGCTCTGCCAGCTCGAAGTCACATTGAGTTCGAAATACACCGGGCTTCGCAGTATTGAACTCAAGTCGAGTTCGAAACGCCCCGGGGCCTTGCAGGTTCGAATTCATATTGATGTCGAACCGCTTCGGGCCAGGCAGGTTCGAACACGAATCGAATTTGAACCTTCTCGAGCCCCGCAGGTTCGAGCCCGCGTTGAGTTCGACCCGCCTCGGGCCCCGCGTGTTCGGGCTCCGATTGCATTCGAACCCCGCCCCGTGTCCTGTAGGTTCGATATGCAAATTGAGGTCAACGCGCCTCGGGCCCTGCAGTCGCGAGCTCAGATTGCATTCGAAGCGCCGCGGCTCCTGCAAGATCGACTTCGCATTAAGTCCAACCCGGTTCGATCCCTGGTTCAAATTGAATTCGACTCGCCTCGGGCCTTCCAGGTTCGAAGCCAAGTTGAATCCGAACCGCCGCGGGCCCTGCAGGTTCGAATTCGCATTGAGTCCGAGCAGCCTCGAGCCATGCATGTTCGCATTCAATGCGAGTTCGAATCGCCCCGGGCCTTGCAGGTTCGAGTTCGGATTCCTCGTCGAGGCCCCCCCCCCCGACTGCGCGACTCAGGGGCGGGCTCGGCGACGCCGACGTCGATTTCGAGTTCATTGAAACCCCGCCCCACCCCTGCCCCATCGAGGTCGAAATCGATTTCGGCTTCATTAAGACCCCCTCCAGCCACGGGGCGCCCTGCCAGGACCCCCCACCCACCCGTGGGGATGGGGCTTGCAGCAGGGTGGTCTTAATGAGGTCGGAAACGCTCGTGACTTCGCGAAGACCCCCGCACCCCGCGCCCTCGCGCAGCCGGAGGGCGGTTTCGACGAGGTCGAGATCGATCTCGACATCAGTAAGACCCCCCCACACGGGGCGCTCGCGCTGCCCAGAGGGGGGCCTCAATCAGGTCGAAATCGATTTCGACGTCGTTCAACCCCGCCCCACAGGGGCCTTCGCGCAGCCAGAGGGGCGCCTCAATGGCGCAAACATCGATTTCGATTTCATTGAACCCCCCACAGAGCACTTGCGCCGTCATCGGGGGTTCTTCGCGAAATCGAAGCCGATTCCGATTTTCATTCGGATCCCTCTTCTGTGGCCCTCGCTCTGCCTAGAAGGCGGCCTTGATGAGGTCGACATCGATCTCGACGTCATCAAGACCCCCCCCAACCCGCGAAGACCCCCCCCCTCCTCTAGGGCCCTCGCGCTGCCAGCGGGGGGCCTTGGCGAGCTGCCAGAGAGAGGCCTTGACAAGGTCGAAAGCGACTTCGACCCCGCGAAGACCCCCCCCGCACGCCGCCCTCCCAGACCCTGACCCTCGCGCTGCCCGGGGTGCGCGGGTCTCAACGAGGTCGAAATCGATTTCGATTCCATTCGCCCCCCCCCCCCCCCCCAGGGCGCCCTCGCGCTGCCGGGGGGGCGTCGTGACGAGGTCGAAATCGCGTTCGGCCTCGTAAGGCCCGCCCTCGCTTTCGGCCCTCGCGCTGCTGGGAGGGGGTCTCGACGAGGCCGAAAACAGCTTGGACTCTGTTTAGACACCCTGCCGCTTCGAAGTCTATTTGAGTCCAAGCCGCCCCGAGCCCTGCAGGCACCGACTGCGCTCGAGTTCGAGCCGCCTCGAACACGACAGGTCCAGACTGAGATTGAGTTCGAGCTGCCTCGGGCCCTGCAGTTTCGAATTCAAACTGATTTCGAGACGCCCGGGGACAGGCGGGTTAGAGTCCACATCGATGCCGATGCCCCTCGAGCCCTAGAGATTCAAAGTCAAATTGGGTCCCAGCCGCCTCGGGCCCTGCAGGTTCGAACCCAAAGTGGGTTCGAGCCGCCGTGGGCCCCGCGGTTTTAAACTCAAGTCAAGTTCAAACCTCCTCGGACCCCGCAGGTCCGAGCTCAAGTTGAGGTCGAAACGCTGCGAGCCCTTCAAGTTCCAATTCAGAGTGGGCGCCTCGAGCTCTGCAGGTTCGAACCCGAGTCGGTTTCGAACCGCCTCGGGCCCCGCGGGTTCAAACCTTACTTGAATTCAAGTCGCCTCGCGCGCTCGATTCGCCCCGGGCCCGGCCTTTTCAAACTCCGATTGAGCTCGCGCTCTTTCGAGCCCTGCAGGTTCGAACTCAAATTGAATCCGAACCGCCTAGGGCCCCGCAGGTCCGAACGCGCGCATTGAGTTCGAACCGCTCCGAGCCCGGCAGGTTCGAACTCCAAGTGAGTTTGAACGGCCCCGGGCCCTGCAGGTCCGAACCCACATTGAACTCTGACCACCTCGGGCCGTGCAAGTGCGATCCCAAATGGATTCCGAGCCGCCTCGGGCCCTGCAGGTTCGAACGCCAATTCAGTTCGATCCGCCGCGAACCCTGCAGGTTCGAACCCGAATTCAGTTCGAGTCGCCTCGAGCCCTGAATGTTCGAATTCAATTGAGTTCGAAGCGCCTCGAGCCCTGCAGATTCAAACCCAAATCGAGTTCGGACCGCCTCGGGCACTGCAGGCTCGAACTCGCATTGAGGTCGCGCCGCCTCGAGCCCCGCATGTTCGAATGCCGAGTGAGTTCGACCTGCCTTGAGCCCTGCAGACTCGACGCCGACTTGAGTTCGCATCGCCGCGGGCCCTGCATAATCGAACCCAAGTTGATTTCGAACCTCCTCGAGCCCTGCAGTCTCGAGCTCGCAGTGATTCCGATGCGCCCCGGTCCCTGCAGGCTCGAAGTCCAATCGAGCCCGCGCCGCCCCGGGCCCTGCGGTTTCGGGCGCAAGCGGAGTTCGGGCGGCCTCGGGCCCCGCAGGTTCGAACTCCGATGTAGCTCGAACCTCCTTGAGCCCTGCAGGTTCAAACCCAAGTCGGCGTCGAGCCTCCTCGGGCCCTGAGGGGCGCGGACTCAAATTTAGTGCGAGCCGCAGGTCCATGCTCAACTTGAGTTCGAACCGCCTCGAGCCTTGCATGTTCAAAGCCAAATCGAGTGCGATCCGTCCTGGGCCCAGCAGCTTCGTGACCAGATTGAGTTCGAACCGCCGGGGGCCTTGCACGTTCGAACCCCGCTTGAGTTCGAAGCGCAACGTGCCCGGCACATTCGAAGTCAATGTGCCTTCTCGAACCAGCGCGAGCCCTTCAAGTCCGATTCCAAATTGAGTTCGGCCCGCCCCGGGCCTCGCAGGCTCGAGCTCAATTTGAGTTCGAACCGCCCCGAGCCATGCGGGCCCCGAACTCAGAGTGAGTCCGATTCGCCTCGGACCTCGGACCCTGCCAAGTTGGATTCGATTTGAGTCCGCGACGCCTCGGGCCCTGCAGTTTCAAACTCGCATTGAGTTCAAAGCGACCCGGGTTCGAACTCGAATTGAGTGCGAGCCGCCTCGGGGCCTTGAAGGTTTGAACCCAAATTGAGTTCGAGCCGCGCCGAGCCCTAGAGGTTCGAATGCAATCTGAGTTCGAACCGCCCCGACCCATGCAGGTTCGAACCCAACTTGAGGTCGAACCGCCTCGGGCCCCGCAGGTTCGAATTCAAATAGAGCTCGAACCGCCGCGGGCCCTGCAGGTTAGAATTCAGTCTGAGTTCGAGCCACCCCGAGCCCTGCAAAGTTCGACGCAACATTGAAGTCGAACGGCGTCGAGCCCTGCAGGTTCGAATTCAGATTGGGTTCGAGACGCCCCAAGTTCAAGTTCAGTTTGGAAAGCTCCAGCATCTGCATGTTTGAGCACGCGTTGAGTTCGAACCGCCCCGAGAGTCAGCCCTGCAGGTTCGAACTCAAATTGAAATCAGACTGCCCCGAGAACTGCAGGTTCGAACTCAACTTGAGTTCGAAGCCCCATCGAGCACGACAGGTTCGAACCCAATGCGCGTTCGGACAACCTCGGACACTGCGCGTTTAAAGTAGAATTGAGTCCGGGACGCCTGGGGGCCTGCAGGATCGAATTCGCATTGATTGCCATGCGCTTCGGGCCCTGAAGGTTCAAAGTGAGTCCGAACCGCCTGGATCCCTGCAGGTCCGAGGTCACATTGGGTTCGGACCACCCCGGGCCACGCAGGTCCATATTTCATGTGACTTCAAATAGCCGCAAGCCCTTCCAATTCCACCCCGAAGTGGGGCCGAAACGCCGCGGGCGATGGAGTTCGAGCCGCCCCGAGGTCTGCAATTTTCGAACCCAAATTGAGTCCGACTCGCCTCGGGCCCTGCAGCTTCGCCCAAAGTGACTTCGAACCGCCTCGGGCCCTGCTAGTTCGAACTCAATTTGGATTCGAACCACCTCAGGCCCTGCAGGTTCGAATCCGAATGGAGTTCGCAGCCCCTTGGCGGGCCCTACGTGATCCATGTCAAACTCTGTTGGAACCGCCCCGATCCCCGCGGGCTCAAACGCAAGTTGAGGCCGAACTCGAAGGGCCAGGGGCTGTTCGCGCTCAATCGGAAGTTAGAAGGGGCGCGACCCCTGTCGAGGTCGAATTTAAGTGGATCTCGAAGAGAGGCGAGCTCGTCAAGTTCGAACTCACATTGGGCTCGAGCCGACTCGAGCCCTGCAGGTTCGAACTCACTGTGAGTTCGAATCTGAATTCGAACCGACGCGAGGCCTTCAAGTCCGATCTCACATTGAATTAGAATTGCCGAGCTTTGCAGGTTCGAGTTCAACTTTGGGATCGAACTTGAAGGGCCTGGGGACGGTTAGAACTCTAATCGATTTCGAACGGACGCGAGCCCTTCAAATTCGAACTCAAATTGGATTCGAATTGCCTCGAGGTTTGTAGGTTCGAACTTCGACCCGACGCAAGCTTTGATTGATTTCAAATGTGCGCCGAACACATGCAGATTCGAATTCACATTGATTGAGTTCGATGATGCTTTTGATGGGTGATGAAGAGCCTTAAAGGCTCCGATATCGAAAGCCATAGAGCAATCGACCGAGCAGGTGCCCCCCCCCCCAAAAAAAATGCGCTATCCAGCGCCAGTCTATAGGCAAAGAGAAGGGCAGACGGTTGAGAGAGGAGAGAAGAGGGGGAGGAGGAGAAGAGGCGGGTGCGTTAGATTCGTCGGCAGTTGTGGTGGTCCGTGTGGCCAGGAGAACTTGGAAGTCGCCCTTATTCCACATCCAGCTGACGCGCGTGGAGATGGAGGGGCGTCAGGATTCCAACTTTGAGACTGTCTTCTTAAGGATGTGGCCGACCACCTGAGTTGTGCGACAGGCGCTGTTCAGTTAGCGGGTTCTGCGCGGCCCCCTTGCCACGGCGTCAATCCCTCCTCTTCGTCATCTTCATCCCCCCTCCTGCTCCGCTCCCCCCAATTGTATTTGTTCATTGGGCACGAGCTTGCTCCGAACGTCGAGTACGACTAAAGTTCGGACGGCCTTGGCTACAGTGGCGGAGGAACATGCGGTGGAGGATTGTGCGCGCATGTTGTCCCCTCCCCGCGCCAGCGGCGGCCACGGGGAACGCCGCAGCGGGGTGCGCGCGCAGGGGGCGAGGGGGCAGGCCTGCTCCGAGGGAGCGCTCCAGAGGGTGGGGGGGAGGGAGAGAGCCCAACGTTGAGCAGGGGGAGGGAGAGGGCCCAACGTTGAGCAAACGGCGCTCTAAGTGTGCCCCGCTCCGGCCGTCGATTTTGCGGCCATGGGTTAGGCCAGGGCATCTGTTTTGCAACTCTTCGTGTTCTCAGCATTCACTGTCCACAAAACTGGCTTGCAGCAGCCGGGGTCCAAGACACAACGCAGCAGTTGATCTATCACGCGAGAAAGAGAGAGAGAGAGAGAGAGAGAAAGAGAGAGAGAGAGAGAGTGAGAGAGGAGGGGAGGGCACAGAGGAGGGCAGGCAGCGGGAGGGGAGGCGGGGGGCTGTGGGAGGGAGTCGACGTCCGTGGCCCCCTAACTGCGGGCCTGCCGAGGCGGCCCCATGGCCCACGCGCCCCTTACGCCTGTTTCTCCCTTGTTTCCCCCTGCCTCCTGGGGGGGGGGAGCGGGGCGAGGGCTGGGCGCTGCGTCATGGGAGGGCCATGGTGGATCGGGGGGGGGCGGGGGATGCAAGAAGGGGGCCGACCCTCTGGGGCGCCGAGGGTGCACGAGAGGGGGCAGTTCTTCACCCACCCCGTGTACGGTCCCCCCGTGGGTCACAGTGCCCCCAGCAGCGCAGCACCGCTGATGCCGTGGGTCACTCGCAGAGGCGCGCAGAGGCGACCGCGCGCCGCTGGCCTGACCGGAGAGCCGTCCTTCTCCCAAGGGCTGGGGAGGACGGGGGGGGGCGGCGGAGGCGGGAGCGCGCAATTGGCACCGCGCTTCGTACAGCCCGAGGCTCGCCGTCGGGTGGCCCAGAGTGTTGTGGCGAAGGCTCGCACCGCCCTCGCAGGCTCGCGCGGCCCCGCCTCGAAGGCTCCGCGCCGTGCCCTCCCCTTCCCCCTTCCCTCCCAAGTGGCATTTCGGGCCCACGCTTCACGGAACCTCGAGGAGGCCACCGAAACCCACGGGGCCCAGAAGACCGCCGTCCCCTTTGCCATGGCGGCGGGTGCTCCCCCTCGCCCACTCGCTTCCCGCCCTCCTTCGCCTCGCCTCGCCCCGCTCGGGCGCGACCCGGACATGATGGAGGGACGGAGGGAAAGGGGGTCGGGCGGGGCTGGGACAGGGACGAATCGTTCCTGAGCGTCCCGGATCGCTCTCAGACCTTTTTGGAGCGCTCCGCAGCGGCCGACACAACCTTCAGAACGGCAGATACACTCTCTAGATTTGTCTCGGTCCGATTTTTTCCCGTTCACGGCCTCATGTTCGGAAGGGGGGGAGGGCGAGAGTCGAATTGCATCGCCACTGCGGCGTGAGAAGGTCGCAGGGGGGTACGCCGCCCTTGAGTCCGGCAAAGCGGCCCGCAGTCCTTCGAGGTGGAGGTGGAGCTGCAGATGGAGGCGGCGCGAGCCTGGAGCCGGGTTGGAGCTGCAGAGAGGGAGACAGAAAAAGAGAGAGAGAGAGAGATAGAGGTCGGACCGATTGGGCGGCACAGCGTCCGGGCCGGAGCGAGTCGGCTAAAAGGGGCCGTGCACGCCCGTCTTGGGCGGACGGCCAGGGGAGGCGGGAGAGGGAGGGGCGAAGGGGACACCCCCCAGCGAGCAGTTGGTGGAACTGTGATTCTACAGCAGTGGTCCGAGCCCACTAGGTGGAGGCGGTGGAGGATCAAACGAGGCCTGCAACCGTTTTTGGCGTGATGGTACCTCGCTGGAAATGGCGGCGTCCATCCAGCACCCTTTCAGGGCCCGCAGTGGAAAGACGACACTGAACGCTTGCCAGGCAGCGCACGGGCCTCGAAGGGGGGGGGGTAGCTGGGGCTTCTTCTAGCGAGAAGCGTTTGGGCAGCGTGGAGAGCGGCGGCCACGGAAGCGGAGACACTCGTCGCCGATGGGGCGAGCGAGGCCTGACGCTGGACGGTGGCGTGAAGTTCACGCAGCGCGTTGCGGTGCTGTCGCGTCGTGTGGCGGACGTGGTCGGAAAGTGACTGGACGTGCTCGAGCTGGCGTTCTAGCCGCGTCAAGCGGTCTGCCGCGGGCTGAGCCTGGGCCTGAGTGGTTTGTCTCTGTGACGGAAGGGGGGCCAGCGCGGCCGTCTGGGCGGCGTGCCAGGCCCTGCGCACCGATCGGGGGTGGGGGACCCGGAAGGATGTTGACAACGACGCCGGTTGCCTATCAGGACCATTCGGGGCGTCTTGGAGCCTTCCATGGCGCGATTTCCAGGTTGCGTTCGCTGTTTTGAAACTAGGTTCGCCATCTTGGGCATCTGGGAGGCCACGGAGTGTAGCTTAGATTGGGAGGGCGCCGGGACCTGGGCCTGGGCTGGGGCCGGAGCGGGCCGGGAACCATGGGCCATGGGGCCCGGGCCGGGGCCGGGGCCGACGCCGGATTGGGGCCGGGGCCGGGGCCGGGGCCAGGACCGGGGCCGAGGCCGGGATTGGTTCTGGGTCCAGGGCCGAGGCGGGAGCCAGGGCCGGCCGGGGCCGGGGCCGGGGCCGGAGCTGGGACTCGGGCCCGGGCCGGGACCAGCCGAGGCCGAGGCCTCCTGCTGTTCGGCCACGGGTGGAGTTTTGGTGCCTTTGATTTCGTTGGCATCGTCTTCCATGGCGCAGTCGTCTGCGTTTCTTGGGGCGAGAGGGGCTTTGGGCAAGTGTGGCGTCGGCCGCCTTTTCGGTGCTGCTGGCCCCTTGGCGCTACCCCTGCACGCTGGCATCTCGCAGCCTTTTTCGCGGCGGCGGGGTGCGCTGACCAAGTGTCGCTTTCAGGTCTGGTCGTGGTTTTAGCTGCGCTGGGAGGTGCGGCCTGGTGGCCGCGCGGCCCTGTATGGACGGGGGTGCGTTTGCCCCTGTTCCCCCCAGCGGGTGATGCAACAGCAGGCTTCTCCGTGGCGATGGTCTGTGGCGAGGCGATCGTTGCTGCTGGCCGTTTCGGGGGGGGTCGGCTTTTGCAGGCCACGGCGCCCCAATCTTTTGCGATAGTCAAGGGAACAATGTAGCCGCTGCAGGGGGCGCACGGCGGGGGCCTTTCGGAGCTATGGCGCGCGCGCAGGACTGAAATGATGCGACGCCACTTCGCCACGGCCTGGAAACGGTCGTGTCCGGTCGCGCGAAGCAAGAATCCATGGATATTGGGAGCTTGGCGCCTGGTTTTCTCAGAGCAAAGCTATTGTTTTTTTTGTTTCTCTCTCGAGAGAGAGGGAGAGGAAAAAAAGAGGAAAAGAGAGAGAGAGAGAGAAAGAGAGAAACAAAAACAACAAAGAGAGAGAGAGAGAGAGAGAGCGAGAGAGCGAGAGAGACATGGGAAAGAGAGCTGGAACTGGAGGCGGGGAAGGACGGACGGAGAGCGAGAGGAGGGGTTGGAGTTGGAGGAGGCGGGATAGGAGAGGGAGGGGACAAGGGAGAGGGAGAGGGAGAGGGCGCCTCCCCACCCCACGCTGCCTCCCTCCAGCGTAGAGCATGGTAGCACGGAGTTGGCAGCCATTTCGTGCGCCGTCCCTTGGAAGCCAAACTTTGGCGGCGCCCGCACGGTGGTGGAGCGAGGGGGCGGCCTTCTGAGAAGGCACGGGGTACTGCTTGGGGCTTTCTTAGAATGGCCCACAGAGGCTTCCGATAATTTTCCTTCGGCTCCGCCCAGCCCGTTCAAGAAGGCCCCCGCCTTTACGGTCGGGAACGTTGGCTTGTTGTGTCGCGCCGCCCTTTCTGGCCCACCATGCTTTGGCGCGACACGCTATCCACCTCCCTGTCCCCAAGCGCCCCCCGAACATTTCTTAGTTTTCTGCCCCGCGGGGCGGACCGACACGCTATCCGCTTGCAAGGGCATAGCGTGTCGCCGGGGCCGCCGCCGCGACGCGTTGAGCAAAAGCTTGGCCCTGAGAAGCCACCCCTCCCTTCCTAGAAGGCCACCCCTCGCAACCACCTTGCGGGCGCCGCCAAGAACTCCAGCAGACCTGGCACCTGCCTCCGTTCTCGTCGAGAGCGCGGGCAGACTGGGACGTGGCCACTACCGCCAGGGCAAGGCCGCGCACAGGGACGGGCGGGGTGGGGGAGAAGGAGGGGCAGGAGAGAGGTTACGTCGTTCCGTAGATCTAGGTCGGGGAACCGATTCGAAGCCAAGGCTCGCCGTGGCCAGAAAAGTCCCGACGGTCCCAGTTCAGCCTTCCTTTCGGCAGCACGATGGCAGGACGTGTCTGCAGCACAGAGCCAGGTAGAACAAATATGGGGGAGGCCTAGACGCGGAAGCACGGAGGCCCAAAGAGTGCCTCGCGAGGGCGAGACCCCCTCCCCTCCCGAGAGCGGGCACGCGCGCCGAGCATCTGCGCCGGTTCCGGAGACCCAGCAGGGACGACGCCATGCCCTGCCCTCTGCCCAGCAGGGTGTCGGTCCCAGCGCGCCCCGATCTGGGCGCGCTGGGCCCAGACCCAGACCCAGAAGGGGGCTCGAGGAGGAGGATCGGGCGGAAGGCGCCGACGGGGTGAAATCCAGGATGGGGGGGAGGGCGCGCCTCTCCACAACCTGTTGGGCCACTGTGGCAGGTCAGGGGTCCCTTTGGAACCACATTTCCTGCACCGCTCGACGCCGTCTCCGTTTACTAGGGGGTACAGTCGGGAAGGCTTAGCGTGTCGCGCCGCAGGGTCTGGCCCATCGTGCCTCGGCGCGACATTCTAACTACGTTTCAGCCCCCGATCACAGTCCCGAGACACTCTAACTACGTTGCCGCCCTGCGGAGCGGAGCGATACGCCATAGACTCGCAGGGCATAGCGTGTCGCCGGGGCCGCCGGCGCGACACGCTGAGCAAAAGCTCTTGGCCGCAGAAGCGAGAGAGGGACGAGGACGAGGACGAGGAGGCAGAGTGCCCGCGGCGGCCGCGGCGCCTGCTGCGGCCCCGCCGGAGCGGCGCCCCAGCGTGGGGTCGGGCCCGGCAGGTGGTCCGCGCGCGGCTCGAGGACACCAGCGGTCGCGCGGAGCAGGCCCCTTGCCGCGGCCGCCGCGGCTCGGCCGGGCACGCCCGACGGCGGCGGAGGCGACGGCGAAGACGACGACGACGACGACGACGACGACGACGACAACGACGATGACAGCGACGGCGACGGCGGAGGCGGCGGCGAAAACGGAGGCGGCGGCGGCGGGGAGCATCGGCAGCGGTAACGGAAGGCGCAGGCGGGCGCAGAGCAGTTGGGGTTGCAGAGAGGACAAGGCTTGGGGCTGCGCAGAGCCCCAGGAGATATCAGGGGCAATGTTGTGGAGGGATAGAGTCGGCTCAGGGCGGGGTTCGAGGTTCCAGCCTCGGGGTGCTGTCCAAACAGCTGCGCCTCGCCGAGAGCGCTCGGGGAGTTCCCGGATCGTCTCGGAGGGCCGCCGGAGAGCCGAGTTATGACCAGAGAACCACGGGCAACGTTAGGGGGGATAGACTCAGGGGGCAACCGGCTCGGTGTTTCCCCCCTTCAAGCTTCGGAGTCACAAGCGGCAAGGAAGTGTCGGGCGAAACGCACGGACGGCCCCACGGACTCGTCTGGTGGTCTGATGAGTGGCAGTTATCTATGAGAAGAAGGAGTGGAGTTGGGCAGTGGGGAAGAGGAAGATCGGGAGGGGAGGATGAGGAGGGGAGGAGGAGGCGGAAGAAGAAGTGGAGGAGAAGGAGGAGGCGGAGGAGGAGGAGGAGAAAGAGGAAGAGCAAGAGGAGGAAGAGGAAGACCACGAGGAGGACGAGGCGGACCCCGCTGGGGGGCCCGCTGGCCCATCGCTCGCGCTGAGAGCGGCGCGAGGCTTCCGCAACCGCGCGTAGAAAACGGCGAGGCGCCGAGGGCGGGGAGATCCGACTGCCGCCGCCGAGGCTCGGCTCGTCGCGCGAGAGCTCTCCGCAGCGCTCCGCGGGCTGGCCGCGTGGGCGGCCGAGGCGAGCCCCGCGCGCTAGCATTTCCGAAGTCGCGGCCGTCGTTGCACGACGACGACGATGACGACGACGTTGATGACGTCGTCGCACGACGATGACGACGACGACGACGACGACGACGACGACGACGACGACGGCGGCCGCGAAGACGACGACGACGACGACGACGACGACGACGACGACGACGACGACGACGACGACGACGACGACGACGACGACGACGGCGGCGGCGGCGGCGGCGGCGGCGGCGGCGGCGGCGGCGGCGGCGGCGGCGGTGGCGATGCGGTGGCGGCGGCGGCGACGACGACGCGGACGGCGACGGCGGCGGACGGCGACGACTAAGACGTTGAGTAGGAGGAAGAAGCAAGGAAGGAGGAGGAGGACGACGACAACGACGTCGATTTGCAGATGTAGTTTGGGGGTCTTCCTGGAGGAGGGTCCTCGTCGCCCCGGCCGCGGCGCGGCTCGGAGAGCTGCCCTGGGCCTGCTCGGGCGGATCGGCTCAGAGCGCGCGCTGGTCGGACGAAGATCGACGGCGACGAACGCGACAACGGAGGCGGCGACGACTTTGACGTTGATGTTGACGCTGTCATTAGCAACGGCGACAAAGACGACGACGACGACGACGGCGACGACGACGACGACAACGACGACGACGACGGCGACGACGACGACAACAATGGCGGCGGCGACGCCGACGACGACGGCTGGACGGATGGCGACGGCGGTGGGATAGGAAGGAGGGAGTAGAGAGAAGCGAGAGGGGAGCAGGGGGGGGGAGGGAGGGAAGGGGAGAAATGTGGAGGCGGGAGCAAGGAGGGGTGTCAGGAGGAGAACGAGGGTGAAGAAGGAGGGAAGAGGGAGGAGGGACGGGAGGAAAGATCGAGGAGGTAAGTGGAAGGAGCATGCAGCTCGTTTCATTCAGGTTGCTTGCCATGATCCAACGTGTATCCGCATCGTTGGATTCATCAACGATCGGCTGGGCGAGGGCGGATGGAAAGAGGATTAGAAGAGAGAGGGAGTTTGGAGGAGAGGGGGAATGACAGAGAGACGAAGGGTGCCAAGGGGGATGGGAGAGGAGGGATGGGCTTTGAGGCGGGCAGTGGCCCGAGCTCGAGGGCTTCGTGTTGGTTTAAGCATCCCTGTGCGAGGGGGGGACAATTAGCTTCCTGGATGCATATATTCCTATAATTATACATCCTGTAAGGAAAAACCCCCCCCGGATGGCCCACACACCCCCCCCAGATACCTTTTCCCCCGGTCCAACCCAGCCTTTCGAACCCCGGATGGCCATCGCCGCCACTCTTCCCTGACACGCCCAGACGCCCAGACGGCTCCCGATACCTTTTTCGCCGCTCCTTCTTAGTCGCCGACTCCTTGCCAAAACACCCCAAACGGCTCAGGACGCCCCCCCGACGGCTTGAATACGGTGTACGACGGCTCTGACTGACGAGTCCCAGCCACCCTTCGGACGGCCATCCCCGTGCCCCCCGATACATGGTTCGACGCTTTTCCCGGGTTCCCGAGCCTCTGCCCACACAACCCAGACGGCCCCTACATTGCTCAACGCTTCTCCCTGGCCACTACACTCCAAAAAAAGGCTTCGACCAAATCCACGCGACGCCCCAAAGAGCGACCACGCCTTCAAGGCTCCACGAAGGTCACACAAGGCCCCCAGCCAACTGCACAGGGCGCCAGAAAGGCGTCCAAAAGGTTTGCCTTTAGGCCTCCACCTTCCAGACAACACCCTCCCCACGACGCTGCTGCCTCCTCCTTCTCCTCCTTCTCCTCCGCTTCCTCCTCCTCCTCTTTTCCTCCTCGTCCTCCTCTTTTCCTCCTCCTCCTCCTATCTTCCTCCTCCTCCTCCACCTTCTCCTCCTTCTCCTCCTTCTCCTCGTCCTCCTCCTGCTCCCGTTCCTCCTCCTCCATTTCCTCCTCCTCCTACACCGCCTTTTCCTGCTCCACCCTTTTCCACCTCCTGCTCCTTCTCCTCCCCCTCTTTCTCCTCCTCCTCCTCCTCCTCCTCCTCCTTCTCCTCCTCCTCCTCCTCCTCCTCCTCCTCCTCCTCCTCCTCCCTCTCCCCCTCCACCTTCTCCTCCTCTTCTCCTGCTCCTCGTCCTCCTTTCCTCCTCCTCCTCCTCCTCCTCCTCCTCCTCCTCCTGCTGCAACTGCTCGTGCTCCTGCTCCTCCTCTTCGTCCTCCTCGACTCGTTCCTCCTCCTCCTCCTCCTCCACTTCCTCCTCCTCCTTCATCCTTTTCCCCCTTCTCCTCCCTCTCCTCCTCCTTCTCCCCCTCCTCCTCCTCCTACTTCTCCTCCTCTTCTCCTCTTTCTCCTCCCCCTCCTCCACCTCCTTTACCACCTCCTCCTCCTCCTCCTCCTCCTCCTCCTCCTCCTCCTGTCTCTGGCATTTCTTCATGTCCATCGGCGGGACGAGCCACTTCCACGCCTGGCAGATGTGTCTCGACTGTCCTGACGTGATTTGCGACGCCTCTCAGATGCGAGCCGTGGGTCCCAGTTGCTACTCCTACCTCCGCCTCGCCTACCCGGCCGTGGAATTCCCTGCAACATGGAGCTCTGCCCAGGGCCAGGACCTCGGCGTTCGCCTGATCGACCACCTCCGTACGCGCCCGGAACTCCAGGGCCTCGAGTTCCCAGGCCCCACGCTCAGCTTCAACAACACCGAGCACTGGACGTGCGAATCCGTGAAGGCGACCAAGGCCTTGCACAACGACGGCCTCCTGATCCGCGTGGGCGAGATACGGCACGTCTTGCAGGGAGGCGCTCTGGCGGTGCCGGCCAGCGGCAAATTTCGAACGCGCCGGTTCCGCACCGGCTTGGCCGCGCCAGACCCCTCCTCCATGAGCGGCAGTTTGATGTACGCGCCACGGACCACCAGCCACGCGCCGCTGATGAAGAAGAGCGTCGTGGGGGAGCCGCCTGCGAAGCGCCAGGCCTCCCTGCTGGCTTTCGGCGCGGTGCGCCGATCAGCCCGCGACCCCTGATGTCCTTCGACGGCGCGCCGTGCAACGACAGCGCGCATCCTCAGGCATAACATTGACTCCGCGGCCCGCGCATGTTTAGTTGGGCCAGCCCGGCGCCCTGGATCTTGCCGGGCTGCCGCGGCCACATATGCCCTGCTGCCACGCCGCTCCTCTCCCTTCCCTCTCCCATCCTTTCCTCCCTCCTCTCTGCATCGTCTGCTCCCGTTCTTCTACCTTCCCAACCCTTCTGTCGCAGACATGGCGCGCTGACTCGCCCTGGCGCCGCCGGCACTTTTGCCTCCCAGCCACGCCGTTCGCGCCTCCTCCCGCTCTCCAGTTTCTCCTCCTTCCTCTCTGAGTCGTCTGCTCCCGTGTTTCCTCTTGCCCTCCCCCATTTCACATCGCTCTGCAATTCCCTACTACCCACTTCTTTTTCGCACGCTTCTTCTATCCGATACTGCATCACGCCGTTTCCACACGTGCTGTCGCGCTCTGTGCGCCGAACTTCTCTGTTCTTCCCCCGCGGCACACGTCCGCGCTGGCACCCGTGTTTGTTCCACGCGTGCGAACAAGATTCCTGACCACCTGGCAAAATATCCTGCCCTTTTGACATAACAGCGGTTGCAGCGACGGCCGCGCTCGCTTACAGCAAATCGTCACACACTTCGTGCTCCACGTTTCCACAAATCCCATGCCCGAGCAACTTTTTCGATGCCCCGACACTACTGTAGGCCACTTCGTCCTCTTCGAGCTCCCAGAACCCCATTCCCGAACCACATTTGGGATGCCCCGAGCCACCTGTAGGCCACTTCGTGCTCTTCGAGCTCCCAGAACACCATTCCAAAACCACATTTTTGGTTTCCCGGAGCCACCTGTAGGCGACTTCGTGCTCTTCGAGTTCCTACAACACCACTCCCGGACCACATCTGGGATACCTGGAGCCAACTGTAGGCCACTTCGTGCTCTAAGAGCTCCCAGAACACGATTCCCAGACCACATTTTAGATACCCAGAGCCACCTGTAGGCCACTCTGTGCTCCGCGAGCTCCCAGAACTCCACTCCCGAGCCACATTTTGGATGCCCGCGGCCGTGAGCTCGTCTCGGAGCCCTCTTCGGCCATCTTGGAACGGTCGCGGGGGCCTCTTCGGCCGTCTCGGGCGCTCTGGAGACCGAGAAGCCGAATACACGAAACTTGCACCGAAACCACAGGACAATTCGTAATGTTTGCCGCCCGGGGGCCTCTTGGGAGTCGTCTTCGGGCCCCTTGGGCCACCTGGGGAGCCCGCTGGGCCGTCGAATGCCCATCGTGGGCCATCTTGGGCCCATCGTGGCCGTCTGGGGGGCGTTCGTCGGGCCCTCCTGGGGCCCTCCGGGGCCGTCGTGGGGCCATTTGGGGCCGTCTCGGGCCCTCCTCGGGCGCTCCGGAAGCAGGCTCCCCAGCCGGGCCTGGAGTTGTACCACTCATTCCATTCGTACGAGTATTTCTCTCTCTCTCTGTCTCTCTCTCTCTCTCTCTTTCCCTCCCTCTTTCTCTGTAGATATAAGTGTATATAAGAAGGGTGGGTATCTATGTACATTCATAAGCACATACTGCTATACCGTGCGTAAACACCCACGTGATTATATACACGTGCGTACATACACGCATACCAGCCGACTAACCAACCAACCAACCAACCTACCCACCTGCCTACCTACATACACACATATCTACATACGTGCGTACACTTACGTACCTACGTACATGCATGCATGCATGCATGCATACATACGTAACCACATACACATAAAATACATACATGCATACATTCACGCATACATCCGTAACGACAGACTTATCTACACACATACCCCCGTACATACATACATGCATGCCTACATACAGGCCTGCATGCGAACAAACATACATCCATACATGCATACATGCACTCATGCATACATACGCATACACATACATACGTACATGCATGCACGCATGCATACATACATGCATAAACGCATACACGCATACTAGAACCACG